TTTTTTTTTTTAGTATTATATATTTCTTTTTCTTTTTTTTTTTTTAAACTTTTTCTTTTTCTTTGTTTTTTACAAAAGTGCTCAAATACAATGCTTGCAAGTGTTTGGTCTCTTGGATTTCATTCTGCTAGCAACGGGAAAATGCGGAAAACATAAATCCCTCCATGAAGAACACCCACGAAGCTAAAATTAAACCGAAGTATTACGTCTATACCAAAACTCTTTAAGAGTTCCTTGGATATATTTTGAGGGTTCTTTCAAATTAACTAAAATGTGGCAAACTCATGCCATCATCCATGGCTTCCTAGAGAAGTTATGTTGGAAGAATTAAGGGAGTTATATGTTGTTTATTTTCCCTTTTAGAGAAATCCTAATGGAATATCAAATGTATTCCAAAGTTGCCAATGAAGTTTGTTACTTAAATAAGTTTGGTGCAGTTACTGCATGTTCCAGAGCAGATTTGGAAGGGATTATAAATAAAACAAGTAGCTTTTCCTGATGTGGACGATTACAAGAGGAAGAAGGGCCCTGATTATCCAAGTGCTTTGGGCTGGTACAATCACTAACATCCCCGACTTGGCTGAAAACTAGGAATGCATATTATTCAAAGAGTTTTTGTACATGTGGTAAACAGATAATGCTTTAATAGGAAGAGTAACAGATATGAAGAACTGATGGAAATACAAAACAAAAGCTAAAAAGAAATGCTATTAAAATAGGCATCAATTATAAGGCACTCTAAATGCAAAACTAAAACCAAAAAAAAAAAAAAAAAAAAAAAAAAAACACAAAAAACAAAGTACAGCACTTCCCAGGAATGCTGTATGCCACAAAATGTTTCTGACTGAACAGAGTAACATGAGTTTGGCTTTGCCCCTGTTACATATCATAAATGCAAATTTCATAGCACATATTATAGACAATATACGATTGAATACACTTTTTTTAAACAACTTGATAGCTGATATATTACAACATTCTCCCCTCCTAAAGGGAAATGCACTGACCTTTCCCACATGCACACCTCTTAGATATTTAAGATTTTTTGTTTTATTGCACTAGAGTGTTAGAATTATAGAACTTTGTTGGAAGCCTGGCTAACAAAATGGTATTTGTGAATATGATTGGGTGGGTGGGTTGAGGGAGATTGGATGGGATATTAGGGGGGGAGGTTTGACAATCACTGATGTGCATTCCTCATTTCCCTTTAAAAAAATTAAAATTTTGGAATATTTAGAAATACCAATATGTCATAAAATTAAGAAGTTGAAAAAAGATGTTTACAATAGCTTTTTCTACATTAAAAAAAAAAAAACCTAAATGATGGAAGAACTGAATGATAGCTGTATCTATCTTTTTGTGTGGACACACTGTCTATATATACATAGACACCCTTATACAATGTGGATATATATGTATATATGTTAGCAGCAACTTTATACTTTGCGCCTCCCTGTTGATTCCCAAAACTAAACAAAATAAAAAATAAAAATTCTCTTTATTTGAAGAGAATGGGTACTTTCTCACCAATCAAAACTGAACACAAGTGTAAAAGTAATATCTGACGAGACCGATACTGTAGATTAAGAGTATTGCACAAAAATGTGCAAACATTTTCAAATTATTTGATATTTCTACAGTAAGATATCACAGATAACAGTTCTACAGCTTAAAAAAAACCTACAATTTGGAAATAAAAAATGAAGAGTTAGGTAACTTTTTTTTAAAATTCACTTTATCGAATGATACATTTTGTTAAAAAAAAGTTTACACAGTTAGAAATGAAGCACAGGTCAGCAGTATCTTTACAATACTAAAAAACTAAATCAAGGACCTTCTTTTTGAACACCCCCCACTTTCCCCCTAAAATGTTATTATGAGCAATATGGTGGGAAGGGGTGATGTTGAAGCCGAGTCCATCTCCCTGTGAGAAGCCACGTCAGCACACATCTTGCCCTGGACTGCAGCACTCAGACAATTTCTCCTTGTACCTATCAAGCAATCCTGAACAAGATGGTGGTTCTTTGCTGTGATTTCTTCTTCCCTTGATTTTGAATCCTTGAGGTATCTGTAAATAAAATCCTTCAGATGCCTCATCAGTCAGGATTCTCTTTTATTATTTTTCAGGTTAGATTATTAAATGGTGAATTCTTGGTCCACTTGGAATAATTTCTTTTTAATTTGTTTTGTGTGTAATAGTCCCACTAAGTAGTTGTTAGCTAGAAGTTAAGAAGGACTTCTCAAGTGCCCTGTATGGCTCAGAAGAGACTCCATGGATAGTGAAGGGCCTGCAGTAAAAATCCAGAATGGGTCAGGGGTTCTACGTTGCATAGTGATCAAAGCTGCCCAGGTACTCTAGCGCGGCTCGGTAACAAAACTGATACTGATCCTGCAGGAGACGAGGTAAGGAGAGAAAGATGAGAACAGTCCATGATTATAGTTGGAAATTGGAAAACAGTTACATCTATATGGGGGTAAAATCATTACTTTCATTAGTTAATTCAATCCAATGACCAATTGGTTATAGTGAACGAAGAACAATGAGCCACATATGTGGCTAATTAATTCACCAATTAGTTTGACTTGAATAGTTTCCTAATTCCGAGTAGTGATGGGTTGAGTGAACATTACCTTCTAGACAAGTATTTCTCAAGTAGTATCATATAATCACGACCAACTGAATACACACATTCCTTGTATGTCTTAGAAGTCACCCTATGTAATTATTTGCTTTATTTGTGATAATTAATTCTCAGTTTCCATATTTAGGAGAACCTGATGCAGATCCAAATTGTTCTGAGAAAAAAATCTGGATTTATTATCTTCAGGGCTACTGTCAACAGAAATTGAATTTTGAAAAAAGTTATGATGTGACAGTAGATCCTTGCTGCCTGAAATCAGAATTAACCATCGTTTCTGATATTCATATGTAAGTGAGAGAGACAGCCAAAAGGTAGCCCATAAGAAACATCAGGCATACAAAACAATCTATGACAGGTGCTGTGTTTTTAAGCTTTTCATTTCTGAAAATGGCATTACAAGATTGGCTGCCCACATCAAAAAGTACCTGTGAACTTTGGGTCTAATTCAGTGTGATCGCTAGTTATCTATTCCAAAAAGGCACAAACTAAAATAAAGCAGTATGAAACGTGGCCTTTTTTCAGACAAGGAAGAACACTGTCATATTGGAATAAATCAGAGCATTGGTAGAGAGATGGAAAAATTACAATTTACAGATGACTATAGGGATGAGAAAAAGTAGGATTTTCCCCATAAAAGAAACCTATTTCCAGTAGCCAATGGGGCTGAAAGGAGATAGTTTCTATTTTGCTTAAATGTGCATTTTCCTACAATAAAAATGGTAATGCAATATAAATGGAGTTTGCTTTCCTATCTTGTCACAGTGAGTTGCTTGGCTAACTGTTGAGGCTTTTTAAACGTCCAATTTCCCTCTGTCACCCTCAACACCCATTAAGTTTGTCAGGCTGACATAATGTTTTGAGTATTGCAAGCCAAATTCTTGTGCTACTGTGAAATCAAAGTCTGGGAGATACTGTGGGTGTTCAACTTAGGAACACATATAAATTGTATAATTCAGTGGCCTTTCAAGGAACATCAACACTATCACTCATATTATTCTTAGAAATCAATGCTCAATAGACCAGATTGGCTAAATCTTGAATTCATGTCATTATGAGAAATAGCCAAGTTGTCATATCAATTTATTAGAATGAAAAACAAGGGGCAAATTTCTGTAGGCTTATCTAGGATCTACAACATATTTTATGTGACCATGTTAAGACATGAAATACAGAGCAGCTCATGTCTCTGTAGCCATATAGAAAGAGAATGGAGAAGTCAAGTGGGCTGAGGCTATGGTGGCTGTTCTTTCTGTATATTTATAAATAATGTACAATATATATTCATACGAATATAATGAACTATCTGAATCTGCCTATAGGTCAAAAATGTTTCAATAGTGACTATATATCATGACTCAAGCTAACGTATAATCTCACATAGTTTCCACAATGACATTGGTACTTTCACTTTCCATTTAAAGAGGGAGAAAATGAGGTTCAAATCAACAACAGTGACAACGGCAACAAGAACAACAATAACAACAACAAATAGCTGGGCGTTGTGGCGGGCGCTTGTAGTCCCAGCTACTTGGGAAGCTGAGGCAAGAGAATTGCTTAAGCCCAAGAGTATGAGGTTGCTGTGAGCTGTGATGCCACGGCACTCTACCCAGGGCAACAGCTTGAGGCTCTGCCTCAAAAAAAAGAAAAAAAAGTAAAAATAAAAATAAAATAAAATCTTACAGTGCTTCTTCACATGATAATTATAATTAAATAATTAATCACCTAATTACAGC